CTTTGGAGGAGAACTGGCAATGGGCTCTGGCAAAGATGGCAGCCTCGGGCATCCACTCTGTCCTCTCGGTCTCCATGAATCAGCTTCGTCTGGACGGCACCGTACAACAGCTCCTCAGGCCACACCTTTATTCATCTCCCCTTTGCACATAATTTTTTTTATTATGAATTAGGTAGTGGTTTACATATCAGATCATGGTATTACTGATCAGGTCATCGCTTTTTTATTCACTCTTGTAAACAATTTATCAAACCTCCCGATGGTGCCTCTGTTTCTCTGCCCCTCGCCTCCCTTTCCATAGTACATGATCTTGCCCTTCACCCAGGTGAACCCCTCTGCCCTCCACCCTGTGGCTTCCCCCTCCCACCCCCAGTGACCATCAAAGTCTGTTTCTCTTGTCCAGGAGGGCATCTGGCGTATCAAGTGCCTGTCGACACACCGATGGCCCCAGGGACAGAGCAGAGCTGCTCCAGGGCCCTGCTCCCACAAAGGTCAACAGCCTGGGCAACGCACCATAGAGCCGCCATGAGCCAGGATCCACTCGACAGCAGTGGGCTTGGCTTTGGGGCTTTAATCCTTATAGAAGCCGGCCATCAGGTCTGTCACCCATGGAGCCGCTGGGTGGGGCCCAACCATCCAACGGTCCATTCGTAGGTGAGCCTGGAACCCTAGCACCACCAAGGGGCCTCCTTCCAGTTTGATCCCCTTTAGAAACCAGGTGCCGTAGAGCATTGGTTCTCAACCTTCCTCATGCTGCCACCTTTCATACAGGTTCTCATGTGGTGGTGACCCCCCAACCATAACATTATTTTCAGTGCTACTTCATCACTGTCATTGTACTACTGTTATGAATTGGGCGACCCCTGCGAAAGGGTGGTTCGACCCCCCAAAGGGGTTGCGACCCACAGGTTGAGAACCGCTACCATAGAGTCAACTCCAGTTCGTGGTAACCCATGTGTGACCGAGTGGATCCCTGCTGCAGACAGTTTCAAGGGCTGGGAAAGAGATCTCCAGGGGTTTCTCCCAAGGCCCCCTGGTGAATTTGAACTGCCAATCTTTCGGCGACCTGCCAAGTGCCTTAACCATTTGCTTTATCCGAAGACTCGCTTTAAGTCGAAAAACCAACTCCGGGACAGCTGTTAACCCTTGTAGCATCTTGGAAAATGCAAATCCAGACCCATCACTCACTCACCTGTATGATCCTCTCCTGGTGCCCTCGGGGGACGGTCCAAGCTCCCTGGAGGTCAGGCTCCTCTCTTCACGCTCCTCTGCAGAGGTGCCCCCAGCAGAGGGCAGTTCCTGCCTCTGCCTGTCTGCCTGGGAGGAGCGGGCAGTCCCTGCAGGTCAAAGGGTGAGCACTTTTGAGGGTCTGACGTGAACACCCATGCCCCTACAAGCTTTGGGTGTCAAACATCAAGACCATCTTGGGTGTCTGCTGTTAGGTGCTGTTGGGTTGGCTGGACTCATAGTGACCCCCCATCCCCACCCCGTGACAGATAGAACCCCATGAGGGTCTCGGACTGTGGTTTTCCCAAGAGCAGATTTCTATGCCTTCCTCCCGAGAAGTCTCTGGGTCCATTTGAACCGCCAACCTTTCCGTTAGCAGCCCAGCGCTTGGCCATTGGCCCCAGGATTCCTTCTCTATGAGTCATTCCTTTCAGAAGGGCTGCGTGGCTTTCGGGATGTGCTCTGCCAGCGAGGGGACCTTGGGCGGGGCCTTCACCTCCTCTGATTCCTCACCCACACAAGGAGGGAGGTGAGGGCCATCGCACCAGATTATCTCCCTAACTAGAGGGACCCAGGGCGCACCAGCCATCCCAGCACGGGCCAGGTGCTTCAGACAAAGCTGAGGAGGAGGGTGGAGAGCCTCTGAGTTCCCAACCAAGCCCCAGAGGCCTGTTCTCCATGTGTGTCGACAAGGAAAGAGACCCCCAAAGGTCTGTGGTTGGCCAGGGTCTCCCTCACATGCATGGCAGACTCACCTCTAGATGGAAACATCTGTACGCTCCGAGTCTGAGGGATCCTGCATCTTCGATGGCTTCCTTGTCCTCTCCTCCTCCTCCTCCTTTGAAGTTTGGGATCAAAATGGTTCTTTTTTTTGGTAGTTTATTAGCATATAATTAACATATCATACATTTAATAGTTTGATCCTATTAAGAGGAGTTGTGCAATCATCGCCACAATCGATTTTAGAACATCTTTTCTTTTCTTGTACTCCTTGTTGTTAGCTCCCCATTCCCCCCACCCCACCCCCACCAGCCTCCCTTGCCGCCGTGCCCCCAGGAAATGATCAATCCAGTTATTGTCTCTGTAGATTTACCTATCCCGGATTTCAGATACAGAAAATCAAAACACGGACCAACAAAGCCCCCCAAACAATGACAGTGACAAAATAAAACAGAGAAAAACTTCAAGATAGAAAGTATTAAAAACTGGAACAAATTGAAAATGGGTCCAAAGGGAGATGAAACAATAAGGTGTTACCTTTTACCCTAACTACACCTGTCTCAGTTTTAACCTAAAACTGCGTCCACTTTGCAGGGCTCTCTGTCTGATAGCAAGGCTATTCACACCCCTGGACTGTGGTCAGAGGGGCTTCATTCACTGGAGGCTTCATCCACCTGGGGACCTTGAAAATGGATTTGGGGGCTTCCAAGGTCATCCATAGCTTTCTGCAAATAAAGTGTTTAGAATTTAAGCTTTAATCCATTCCCTCCTCTGGATTTGGATGTTATTGTTTACAATCCAAGGATCACACAAGCTGCTGTGCTTCTTCTGCGTGGGCTTAGCTGATACCTCGCTTAGTAGACAGACTTTTAAGACCCACCTTTAAGGCGCCAGACACTTTCTCATAACGTACGCCGCCTGATTTTTCACACTTCGCTGCATTCAGCTGCTGTTTTCTTTTCCAGAAGATGAACAGCCAGTACGTCCGCCGGGAGGTCTTCTGCCGGGACACCTGTAACGAGCTCAAACGTTTCTGGGAGAGAGAAATTGGCAAACAGACTTACTACCGAGAATCAGAGGAATATCGTCTCGGACGAAGTGCACTGAGGAAGTATGTGGCTTGTTTTTCTGAATTTTTGTTTTTTTCAAGCAGAATTGTCTTCTCAAGATTTTTTCCTTGGTGTTTCAGAGGCCAGCTTAGAGGGCTAAATGTTAAATTTCCATGCACACTGATAGTTCTATGACCATTTACAGGTGCAGGCAGTAATCTGTTCCCCACCCCCTCTGTAACAAGTGTCATCTCTATTTATCTTTATAAATATCTCTCCTCCCCTTGTGGCCACTTCTAGCACATGAGGGTTACACCACTGCCACCACCACCACCACCTCTACCTCCACCACCACCTCCACCGTTACTAACTGTGCCACCCACCTGTACTTCCACAGCACCTCATCTACCTCCAC